CTGTGATATCAAGTTTCCACAGGAGGGGGCAGTATAACCTTATTTTATTTTAACCCAGACACTGTTAGTGACGACCAGTAGGAGTCGCGATGACTTCCTGTGGCATCCGGTGACATCCGGTCGTTAGCTGTTAGCTTAAAATTAGCATAGGCTAGCGTGGTCCAAAAACACCATTTAATGACGGATTTCAAACTGAAATGTGGCAAAGTTTCAGCGATTAGGCTTCAAAGAAACGGAGCAGCGGATCAGAATCCAACTTTAAAGCGTTTTTTAACTTTAAACAGTAGATTGAAATTCCCTATGAAGACGAGCTTCATTTCCGGGTCACGTGACTGAATCTACCAATGACAGAGCAGCAACGGGGGTGGGTTCTTATATCGCTGACTCAGAGGAAGTGACGCAGACACGTCACTCACTTCTCAGCGTATCACAGCGTTCCAACTCAGCTGTTTTCAACCAAACACGGATCGTTTTTCCAGCTAGCGTGTAGCATTAGCCTGAACAAGTCCGGCCAACTTTTCGTCTTTTAAACTGTCAAAATGTACCATTTTCTGTTAAAAATGTAACGAATAAGCTCTCAGCTGCACGGAGGCGGCGCTCCGGTCTCAAAACGTCTTTCCAACCATTTAAAACAACTCATTCGAACTTATCAGAACCGAGCCGGACCAGAGTCACGCCTGGACCACAGTTTAAACAGAATAACGTTTCCTTAGCTCATCAACTTTGTCACACATTACAGATGTACAAATTCAGCTCTCAAAAAGACACATTGACTCTCAATTTCAGCTTTCAAAACATCACTAGCTGCAAGCATTGCTGTATTTTCTCCAAGCATCTCAGCTGCGCTGCGTTCCACACAGCCACAATCTGCACTCTTTTCATGCCAACATGATAATTCAATTGTTACACGAATACAGTCCATTTTATGAACCTGTCACGGGCTACCAGATGTAGATGAACATATGCTGTATATATTCATAAATTAAACGGATTCTTTCATTTTTCTGGACTGGATAATATCGTGCATTGAATAATTAAAAACGTAACGTGAGACGTTAATTATCTTTGACCCATCAAAATGAACGTGGTCATTTATTAACAGAATCAAGTTTAACACATCACACATTTACATTAATTGGCAAAAATTGAAAATAACAACAGCTTATTTAGGCTAGTTTTACAAGGAGGAAACAATACAGCGATTGTTTCCCTTTGCTTCCAGCTGTACAACAGACACTTCTAAAAATATCTGGAATGATTTCTAGCAGATAGAAGAATGTTAAAGATTGAAAGATGAAGTTTAGAGGGAGGGAGATGAAAACATGGACGAGGGAAAATGTTTGTGTCGGCATCAGAACGGCACTCTCCGGGTTTTTCCCAGCTTCTTCCCCGGTACACTTAGGTGGTATAAATCTCTTTTACCTGGAGATGTCTCCCTGGTACGAAGTTCCATTTAACGCACCCTTTCAGCGTCTCCGTAGGAACAGCTGTGAATCGTCCGAAGTAGCGACGGTATTCCGTCCGACACAGGTTCACCTCACGAGTGGACTCACATGAGTGGAGTCCGTCAGAAGTTCCACTCAGAGGTGGAAGATGTCATAATCCCAAAAGACTCGAAGAGCTCTGGATCATGTCGGGATTTTCCCGTTTTCCCAGCACTGGAGCTGCAACGACTGAAGCCGGAGCCTGAAGCGACTGGTTTGAACTAGGAAGTACCGACATTTAAAGGGCTCTATTTCCGGTTCATTTGGGAGTTTCCTGATTGGTCGTTTCGACCAGACAGGGGTGTGCTTGTGACGTAAGAGGTCACTAGGAGTCAGAAAAACAGCAAGAATGTTATGGAACAGATTGAAAATGTTTTTCAGACAGACGAGAGGAATATTTAGACGAGTTGGGGGAAAACAGGTGCCAGCCTCTATATTTACGTCTGAGAGGATTTTAAAAACATGACAGTTCATTCCAACAACTTGTTTTGCATTTGACTCCAACCTTGGACCAACTTACACTTGCTCATTCAAAGACAGAAAATCAGAAAATGCATAATTACTCTGTAACAGACCTCAACATGATTTCCACTTTGCATGAGGATTAAAAATCATTATTACTGTTTCACAGTTAATTAAAAATGATTAGTTCACTGCAACATCTAAAAATGGTTTGAACTAAAACACTTTGATTATCAAACATTTGTAAAATAGTAATGATAATAGAAAAGAGAGTGTTCTTTCACTTGATCAATTCAAGAAAGAAAGTCTCAGGATGGGTCAACCTGTATTTCTGGATTCAAATCAATGAAATGACAGTTTCTGTCCCATAAGGTCCTTAAGGTCAGGATTTGACCTCAGGCTTAGTTCACTACAGTAGTAACGTTAACAAACGTAAACTTACCAGCTGAAACACAGACACAGCTCCGCGTAGTCGGGCCGTGGAATGTTGATTCACTCTGTTTAACACTCATAGACTGACTTTAATGCTGAGAGGAGAAGTGGAGGCTGCTGTCCGTCTGTCTTCTTGCAGAAAAACATGGAGCAACTTTCTGCTCATAAGCAGTTTCTGCTCATAAGCAGAAAGTTGCGTGTGTTGTCGACCATAGACATACAAGCTGTAGGGCAGCTCTATACAGCTCTGGGTGTAAACACGTAGTCTGTTTGTCAAATGTCTGGTGTTTTACCTGCCTGCGTGCTGAAACCACGTGACATGTTACAGCCAATACTGAAACTTGACACCGAAAAAAGAGTGACGTTTCAATCCATACACCAACCGATGCAGTTCGGTGGGTGCCATTTAAGAACCTCGGTTCAGTACTCAGCCCTAGCCACAGTACTATAGTTCATCATAGTTTCTTTTCTGGCAACTCGACTGACATGGAAACTACAGTGTTTTTGTGTAAACTCACTCATTTTTTGTTTATTTACCCACAATAACCATTGAAAAAACAAATGTTTCCAGAGGTTGTTCTAGTGTAAATGGGGCCTAGCAGATAGATCACTTTGACTTGGTCATTTTTAAAAGGGTTCCATGCTGGAAAAGTCTGGACACCCCTGATCTGGAGTTTCTGAGATCAGCTCTGATAGCCTCTGAAAAGGGCACTGAGACAAATTATAGATCTGATATGGGATCATACTAGTAACCTGTAGATTACCCTCTTAATTCATGAGAATTAAGAATTAGTTAATTAATTAAATGGTAAATGGATTGTACTCATATAGCGCCTTTCTATCTTGGCAAGATACACAAAGCTCTTTACAACACAATCTGTGCCTTCATTTACCCATTCATACAGCACTCGACTAGGTCACTACAAAGCTAATTGAACAAATCATTCTAAAGAGACTAATCAGAGCATTCATACACCGATGGGACATGCATCAGAGGCAATGAGAGGTTAAGTGTCTTGCCCAGGGACACTTCAGCATGTGGCTGCTGGTGGAATTGAACCCCCAACTCTCGCATTGGAGGACGACTGCTCTAACCACTCAGCCACAGCCAAATTAATTCGTAATTCGTGCTGTTGTTGTTTGGCGCATTGTTTTGTACTACTAGTGCTTAGCTTATTCTTAGTTCATATCGTAGATCTTATTACTGTTTTTCTTTACAATTTGTATTTTTGTTGGATGTAACCGGGACCCTGTGTACATAGTTTTGTTCCACCACATGTACCACGTGTGGTGTGAATGACAATAAAGACAACTTGACCTTAAGTCAGCTCAGAACTTGGAAGGAGAATAGAGTACTGCAACTCAATGTAGTAGAAGTACTACAGAGTACGGCTCAGAATATGAAAGTAATTTGTGTGACTGTGAGCAAACTGTAAAAACAATTTCGGATGAGAACAAGAAACTATTATTCCAAAAAGAAAAGACAAAACCGTTGGATTATAGCTCTCTGCTTGATAAAACATAGACTTCTTGAATTTTGATGTGGCAACACAATTTTCAAAAGGAACCTTTCTTACACAAGATGTAGCCACACCAAGATGGAAAACGACACCTAAATTATTTTTCAAATCATTGAGCATTATAAAAAATTAAAGAGTGGGGGATTCAAATTAAGGCAGCACGGTGGCGCAACTGGTAGAGCTGCTGCCTCTCAGCGAGCAGGTCCCTGGTTCAAACCCCAGTCCAGGGGCCTTTCTGGGTGGAGTTTGCATGTTCTCTCCGTGCATGCGTGGGTTTTCTCCGGGTACTCCGGTTTCCTCCCACAGTCCAAAAACATGCATGTTAGGCTGATTGGTAACTCTAAATTGTCCCTAGGTGTGAGTGAGAGAGTGAATGGTTGTTTGTCTCGTTTGTCTCTATGTGGCCCTGTGATGGACTTGCGACCCGTCCAGGGTGTACCCCGCCCCTCGCACAGTGATTGCTGGACATGGGCACCAGCGACCCCCGTGACCCAAAATGGAATAAGCGGGTAAAGAAAATGGATGGATGGATGGATGGATGGGATTCAAATTACTTATTTTATTGTTAACCTGATATTGTTTTTATATTAGTTCTACTCAGAAGGTCAAAACTTCCATTTTACAGATAAATATTTATTTAAAAAACATTTTTTTAAAGGGATCCCTCTTTCCTCGGTGACTATCAGACATATTTTTAAATGTATTTATTGTTTCCATGCTGACGTGTGTCTCTTTGCTCTCTGTCACTGTAAATTTGATGTATTTTGCATTGTTGTGCATCAGTGACTCACACAAACAAGGCAGCGGGTGGTGTCTGATGTCATACAACACACATACAGGTCCAGTGACGTTCTCCTGGATCAGCCAGAGGGCAAAGCAGAATCAGAGTGGACTCACTCTTCAGACATGTTCAAATATGCAGTCCAAAACATTTCTTTATGCATTTAAAAGCATAGAATTCAAAGCATTTTGCTCATGGTGTTTATCAAATCAACTCAAACTGGATTTTATTACAATTTTTGTTCATTAGTGAACAATTATTTGGACTAAACATATTTCCAAACTGTAGCTGTGTTGTTTGGGGGCTGTTTGCACATCAGTGATGTCGTTGTCCAGGTCCAGGCTTCTTGTGTTCCTGTATGGGGTCCTCGCGTGCCAGTTGTTTGCTACTTTTCCACCTATCAGCAGTAACGAACAGAGCAGACTCAGTGGCAGAGCCCTGGTGCAAGGCGGCAGTGCCTCCTGGAACAAAACGGATGAGGAAGCTGGAGAAGGACAATACCTACTGGGAATAAAAAGACTCAGGAGGCTTTACTGTAATGTGGGCATCGGCTTCCACATTCAGGTCCTGCCGAATGGGAGGATAACGGGCGAACACGAGGAAAACAAATACAGTAAGTGTTTCTGACCTCAGCTTACGTTCATAACTGGATTAACAATTAACATTTAACTGGTCAACAAACACAACACTATATATGTGTCTAAAATTTACCAAAATAATGTTCATTAAAAAATCAAAGCAAGAGTCAACAATCTATACTCTAAACTGACATTTTTTGACTTTGTAATAATTTAAACATCAAAATTGTTTGATAACTGAACCTTAGATGAAGTGTAAAGAGAACCAAGATCAGAAGAAATATTAAAGTTGCTGCCAGTATGGTTACCATGGTAACCAAACACCCGTGTCTCACTCCTATGAGAGGCAGTCAAAAACAGACTAAATGAGCTTCAATTAAACAGTCTCTGTTTGGAAACTGTCATTGCTTAAAATTTCTTGAACTACGAGCAGCAGAAAACTGATGGTGAGACAGTTTTTGTCTTTTGTGGTAAATATGACAATTTTGAAAGACCTTTCTCTTATTGTTTTGAAAATAATATTTTGAGGTAAAATATACTTAAAAATATAAACACAACACTTTTGTTTTAGCTCCCATTTTTCATGAGCTGAACTCAAAGATTGAAGCCTTTTTTTTTTGGTCTACCAAAGGCCTTTTTCTCTCAAATATTTTTCACAAATATGTGTAAATCTGTTTTAGTGAGCAATTCTTCTTTGCTGAGATAATCCATCCACCTCACAGGTGTGGCAGATCAAGATGCTGATTAGACAGCATGATTATTGCACAGGTGCGCCTTAGGCTGCCTACAATAAAATGCCACTCTAAAATGTGCAGTTTTATCACCGCACAATGACACAGATGTTGCAAGTTCTGAAGAAGCAGCAGTTGGCATGCTGATTGCAGGAATGTCCACGAGGGATCTTGCTCGTGAATTGAGTGTTCATTTCTCTACAATAAGCCATCTCCAAAGGTGTTTCAGGGTGCATTCACACCAGCCCTGTTTAGTCCGCTTTAATCGAACTCTAGCTCGTTTTCCTAAAAAGTCTGGTTCGTTTGGGGAGGTGTGAACGCACCATCGAACTCTGTCACGGAACAAAAAGGCGAACTCTGGCCCAGGCTAAAACCTAGGTCTCGGTCCGGTAGAAGCAAACTCCAGCGCGGTTCGAGTACAGTGTGAATGTAAACAGACCGAGCCCGCTCCGCAGGGTAAACAAACACGCATTGCTTTTACCTTATATGGAGCCGTCAGCTGCCTTGTGTGGAAAAACAATATTCTCCACGGTCTTCTGTCTCATCTTCTGCTCATGCTAAGTCCATTTTTGAAAAATGGCAAAATATAACTCCTAAAACTGCTAAAACTTGATGCCACTTCATTTTTATTTTTATTTCCAGAAGAAGAAGATGTGTCTTCAGAGGTTTTTGTGTTGTTTCTTTCAGTAGTTCTTGGTGCAGCGCCCCCACAGGCGAGCGGGGGAATAGGTTGGTTCAACAGGTTGACTCGACTGCACAGTGCAGTGTGAATGCAAACACACCAGCTCAAATGTAAACAAAAGGTCATGAATATTGGTCCCAAACCGAGTCTACCGGACTATCTGGTGTGAAAACAACCTCAGAGAATTTGACAGTGTATCCAACTGGCCTCTCAACCACAGACCAAGAGTAACCACACCAGCCCTGGACCTCCACATCCAACATCTTCACCTCCAAGCTCTTCTGAGACCAGCCATCCGGACAGCTGCTGCAACAATCATTTTGCATAACCAAAGAATTTCTGCACAAACTGCTAGAAACCTTTTCAGAGAAGCTCATTTGCATGCTTATCCTCAGTGGGGTTTCCATCTGACTTCAGTTCGTCATAGTAACTGACTTGAGTGGGCAAATGTTCACATTCAGTGACGTATGGCACGTTGGAGAGGTGTGCTCTTCACTGATGAATCCCAGTTTTCACTTTAGAGGGTGGCAGTACATCCAACTGGCCTCATAACCACAGACCAAGTGTAACCACACCAGTCCTGGACCTCATCATTGAGAGGGTGGATGGTTGACTGCGAGTAAGGCTTGTGTGTGGGTGAGCAGTTCACTGATGTCAACGCTGATGTCAATCATGCGGCCTATGACAATGGTGGGGTTATGGTATGGGCAGACATATCTTATGGAAAATGAACACAGGTGCATTTTACTGATGGCTTTTCAATACACATAGATACTATGATGAGATCTTGAGGCCCATTGTTGTGTAATTCATCCACACCTCAGGTTGTAGCATGATAATGGATGGCCCCATTATGGAAGGATCTGTGCACAATTCCTGGAAGCAGAAAACAACCCAGTTCTTGCATGGCCAACCTACTTACTGTTCATGTCACCCATGGAGCACATTTAGGATGCTCTGGATCAGCGCATACAACAGCATATCCCAGTTCCTTATCCAGCAACTTTGCACAACCACTGAAGAGGTGGAATAACATTCCACAGGCCAGCCTACACATCAACAACCTGATAAACTCTATGTAAAGGAAATGTATTGCATTGCGTGAGGCAATTGGTGGTCACACCAGATACTAACTGGTTTTCTGGACCCCTCAGTCCAGTAAAACTGCTAATTTTTGAGTGACCTTTTTTATTGTGATCAGTCTTAGGCACACCTGTGCAAGAATTATGGTGTCTAATCAACCAGTATGCCACAACTGTGAGGTGGATAGATTATCTCAGTAAAGGATAAATGCCCACTAACACAGATTTACACAAATTTGTGAACATTATTTGAGATAAAAGGGAATTGAGTGTGCATAGAAAAACTGTTAGTTCTATTTCGTATAGGCTTCGCCCTTTAAGTCTATCGCTAGTGGGTTTATCCCGTCGTGCGTAGCACTGAAAACTTTAGTCCACGCCGGTCCGTATATATTACGGTAAGACCGGGCAATCGGCTCCCATTTTTTCTTCAGCCAGCTAGCTAGCACGGTCAGAAGAACAAAGAAGGAATATTTGTCCAGCTTTATTTGTCCAGCACAACCTTTGCTAAGGATGCCTGGGTCTCCACCATGCCAACCTCCTGCTGTCCCAGTGAGCTCTTCCTTCGTGAGGAGAAGCAGAGATGAGCAGCCTTGTTCAAGGTAAGTGCCGAGGAGTGTTTCTCCATGGCGGGCCGCTACCTGCTAGACGACACCATCGCCTTTTCTAACGTTTTTCTCGCGGTGAATCGGATGATTCCCTCGAAAAAGGTGTTGTTGGCAGCAGCTCCGCTGAGTGTTTGTCTGTGGTGGGCCGCAACTCGCTGGACGACACCATCGCCTTTTCTAATGTTTTTTCCTTGCGGTGAATTGGATGATTTCCTCAAAAAAGGCGATCCAGGCAGCAGCTTCGCTGAGTGTTTATTCCGTGGCGGGACGCTATACATAGGATGACGCCACCACCTTTCTTTGAGGCAGAGTCACGCAGTGAATCGAATGACTTCTCAGAGAAAGGCGATGCTGGAAACAACCCCGCTGCCCCTTCCGTCCTGGAGAGCGTAGTGATGGAAGAAGAGCGACCGAGCGGATGCACAGCCACCTTGGGTCTTCCCACGTCGGCGACCACACCGCTCCCAGCCATCGGTGCCCTCCTCTCGGAGCTGCCCAGCATATCCAGGAGGCTGCTAACACAAAGGGACTTTTCTGTCCCTCGCCTCCCTCCGCCCTGATCAGATGATCTGGCGGGAAGGTTTGGCTCCGCCCCAGCTCGTCGCCCTGATCCCATCTGGCCTCTCTGTCCAGCTGTGACGTCACTGGAACAAGGCTGCAGCTGGGCCCGGCAAGCTGAAGACATCCATCTCCACCTTCGCCTCCATCTCCAGAGTGGAGGGTTTTACCGATCTGTGTTTTTCCCTCGGTTCCCCCCCACTGGAGCCAAGTCTGGCGGAGGCACTTGGGGCAAAAGCTTCCAGGATGGACCGGCAACATATCTCTCCAGGGAAGCATGATCAGAGGGTGATAAAGCTCTCCAACCGAGTTCACCAGTGCACATCCCAGGTGGTTGCGGTGAACAACAACATCGCTCTGCTGGCCTACAGCATCTCAAAGAGGCTGGAGGAAGCAGACCTGCTGGAGGAGACAAAGAGCTCACTCTGTAAAGCCGTTGACGTCATCTTAAACATGTGCGCCACCTCTGCGTTCTGCCTGTTCCGCGTCGCCACCTGGATGACCATGATTCAGAGGACCACCTGGCTCCGCCTCTCACCATCCTTCTCCGAGAGGCTGCAGAAAGTCCTGCTGGAGGGCCCCATCACCCCAGAGGCACTGTTCGGGGCCAACTTCAGGACCATCCTTGAGAAATCGCAGGGGTCCGAGGAGGTCTCAGAGACTGTACACCATCTGGTAATGTCACAGTCCTCCTCCCGCCCCTCCGGCCGCTGGAGGGACCGCCTTGGCCAGCAGCAGAGGTGCTCCACAGCCACGGCAGCGACTGCACGCTCCGCTCCTCCGCCGGCCCCCTCCACCAGGGAACAGCTCCTTAAGGGGAATGTGTGTGTTTTTTGACTATGTATGTTTTGAAATAAAACAGAAACATCTCTGAAAGTAAAGTTTCATCTGAGACAGTCAGATCAGCTGATCTCTCAGCTGCCTCTCTTCACACATTCTCCACACAGAACGAGCCGGTAACCTCTAAACAGTGTTTTAAATGGCACCGCAGTTCAGTAAATATCACAAAACACTCGTCTGCCACGTCAGCTAAAATGATGTTTTTTCAGCAGACCGAATTTGGTAAAATCCCTCGTTTTCAGCCAGAGCCCGTTTATAATTTCTGCTGTTCTTGCCCATCACAGCACAGCTGGAGTAAACGTGTTTTCTCCACGACAGCTGCAGCCTCCACCGAAACGGCGTCTCACTCAGAAAGCGCTCACGCCTCCTCTCAGTGCGCACCGCCTCACCTCAGCTCTAATGTGAGACCGCAGCCTGGGCTCAGCACAGAGGCGCACATACAGCCTTTTTCTGGTGGAGTCCCCCTTGGGTTCCCCCCGGAGAATCTCCGGAGCGAGTGATGGTAGTAAGGGTTTTTAGTCTGGTTGACGTTCATGA